AAGTGTCAGGCATTGTGTTCTGTTGCAATTCGATTGGTCAAACTACCAGATTTGAAGCAAAACACACTTTATTCATACACTATAGTTAAAATACAACGAAAGAAAGAAGAAATTGAAATAACTCCGTTAGAAAACTGAACAGAATAATAGATTATTTTACTACTAAACAGTAACTGTTCCAATATAGTAACATCCCAAATACATACGCTTGAGAAAGGTAAGTTCAGAAAAATGGATTATCTCACGTAATGCTTCAGCCCAGGAGGAAAAACATCAAGAGAAAACTCTGAGAGCAGGGAAGAGATGTACTGCAGCTTCCAAACCTAGCTTCAAAACCCCACAACTGCTATTGAAAAGCTAAAACTAAAAATCCCGGTTCTGTGTGAGCTTCCCCCACCCATTCAGGCTGCTTTTATTGTTCCTACTTTAAAAAAACACACAAGGCTTCACCAGCTATTTTCGTTATGGTGTTTCAATAGACAGTTCTCACCTCTATCTCAAACAAAACCAGGGCAAAACACATCTCTTAAAGCCATAGGATCACCACAATATTCATATAGCACCTTTGATCTGATGAAATTCGCAAGGTACTTTCCAGCATGACACTGAAATATGACATCGAGCCACTGAAGGAAATATTGGTGACCAAAAGGTTGCTGTCAACTATTTTAACTAATGTCTTAAAGGAGGAAAATGAGGCAGGGAGATGGAGAGGTGTAGGTAATGAATTCCAGGGCTTGGCACCTAGGCAACCGAAGATACAACCATCAGTGGTAGAGTAAATACATATGAGTTTGTTCAAGAGGCCAGAATTAAGGGAACACTGAGGTCTTGCAGGGTAAGGGACTTGAGGAGATGATAAAAAAAGTAAGGTCAGAGAGGGTTTTGAAAACAAGGTAAGGAATTTTAAAACCAAGACCTTGTTATAAAAACTGGCTGCTTGTCAAACAATGACAGGAATAATTGGAGAATGGACTATGCTGAAATTCATGACATGGGCATCAGAGATTTTGATGACCTGAAGTTTCCAAATAGTAGAACGTGGGAGACTTGGCAGAACTTCTACTTCTTGCTGAGGATGTTGTTTGTGTAATACCAGGCAGTCAGCCCACTAACTTATCTGGAAGACACTTAATCTCCTGAATTTCTTTCACAGTGGAATTCTTCCCCCAAAATCAAGTAGTTGCCATACAACATCATCTGGAGATCATTTAATCTTATGTATTTCCATCAGGGAAGACAGCTGCTGGGCTAGGAAACAAGTATTTTTTTTTCTCCTGGATTTCTGGCTTGAGTAATGTCTCATTTTTGACCATGTCCTGAATCTGTAAATGTTGGTTATAGATTGTATGCAGCTCATATATAGTTATTGAGAAGAAAGCTTTATTATTAATCTGCTGATAGATTCTGTGTTGAAGTACTTAAAGTCTTTACTTCAACTTGTTGATTAGTTTGGACATCTTCATACATCCTAAGTGGTTTTTGTACTGATGCCCCTCTCATTGTCCCTTCCTCAGTCATAGTATTGGAATTTATGCTTACTTAACATCCTCTGTCTCTCATTCATACTGGTAGTCCTGCTTTGGAAGATGACAAATTGAAATATTCCTCTGGGTGATCTCGTCCTCTGCCCTTTCTTTATTTACCACTCATGATAATCCTGTACAATCACAGATTTCACAATGTTTATGAAATTTTCCATCTCTCTTGAGATCTTTAGCAAGCACACCACCCACTGAGCCCTGGTTATACATCTGTTGATCTTTAAGTATCCCAATGCATCCTTTTCAGGACATATTCCAAAAAGGAAGCTGGAATAACTAGCCCTCTATTGTACACTAGTTGGCTGTCCAATTGTGAAATTCTGGTGGTGTTCAAAGTATGTGTTTTTGGACTTTTAGTCTGGCCATCCTTCAATACAATGTTAGCAAATGATCATATCTCAGTCAGACTTTTATTCTTGTCAAGGTTATTTGAGGCTATTCGGACTTGCTGGCCACCTGTTCTACACTGACATATAAAATTTATCTTTTATGCCTGTATAGCTAATCTCAGTAGATTATTTCTTCTTTCTGGGTTCCACCATGGGCATAAGAGGCCAATGTAATCTTTGACCAGTTGTTTCCTGACTGGTTGAATGACAACAATTTCTGGACCGGTTGCTCTCTGAATGGCCTCTCTTTCAATAGACTTGACATAACCTAGTTTCTCTTTATCTGTTAACTGTGACTTGGAACTATTTGAAGACTTTTTGCTCCCTCAAGGATTTTGAGATCAACATATGTATGCAGGTTCAGAAGTGATTGTAAATCTTGCATATATTGTCAACTCTCTCATGCTTTGTGTTACAGAGATGCTTGTAGCATACCTTTATTCTAGACAGTTATGCCACATGTAACATGTAAGTTCATCCCTGTAGGCTGTAACTTCTGTTTCTTCACCTGAGGTATTGGATCAGACAAGACAACGATACTCATCTCTGGATCAAGCCTAAAATTAACAAAACGTACAATGGCATAAACAGGTTCTGTCAAACTGGAATCTTTTGGTCATTGATTTCTTATAGTAAGGCACTGAATATCTCTTCTAATGCTAGTGGTTCATCACATTAACATCTTTTTTCGAAGAGGTATTTGGCTTTATGCTGGTCGTACTTTTACACATCTTTGGAAGTGTGCGACTGATGTAGCAATCTTTTGACAAACCTGGGCACTATTTCTGCTTGTTGGGGTTTGTTGTTCTACAGAACTGGCTCAAAGGTAGAAGACAGAGGGTGGTAGTGGAGGGTTGCTTTTCAGACTGGAGGCCAGTGACCAGTGCCACAAGGATCAGTGTTGGGTCCACTGCTTTTTGTCATTTATTTGAATGATTTGGATGTGAATATAGGAGGTACAGTTAATAAGTTTGCAGATGACACTAAAATTGGAGGTGTAGTGGACAGCAAAGAAAGTTGTCTCAGAGTACAATGGGATCTTGATCAGATGGGCCAATGGGCCGAGGAGTGGCAGATGGAGTTAAATTTAAATAAATGTGAGGTGCTGCATTTTGGAAAGGCAAATCAGGGCAGGACTTATACATTTACTGGTAAGGTCGTGGGGAGTGTGACTGAGCAAAGAGACCTTGGAGTGCAGATTGATAGTTCCTTGAAAATGGAGTCACAGGCAAATATGATAGTGAAGAGGCATTTGGTATTCTTGCCTTTATTGGTCAGTGCATTGACCACAAGCATTGGGAGGTCATGGTGTGGCTGTACAGGACATTAGTTCGGCCACTTTTGGAGTATTGTGTGCAATTCTGGTCTCCCTCCTATAGGAAGCATGTTGTGAAACTAGAAAGGGTTCAGAAAAAAATTTACGAGGATGTTGCCAGGATTGGAGGGTTTGAGCTATAGAGGGAGGCTGAATAGGTTGCGGCTGTTTTCCTGGAGCATTGGAGGCTGAGGGGTGACCTTATAGGAGTTTATAAAATCATGAGGGACATGGATTGGGTAAATAGCCAAGGTCTTTTCCCCAAGGTGGAGGGAGTCCAAAACTAGAGGGCATAGGTTTAAGGCGAGAGGGATAAGATTTAAAAGGGACCTACGGGCAATTTTTTCATGCTGAGTGTGGTGTGTGTATGGAATGATCTGCGAGAGGAAGTGGTGGAACAATTACGACATTTAAAAGTCATCTGGCTGGGTTTAGAGGGATATGGGCCAAATACTGGCAAATGGGACTAGATTTATATGAGATATCTGGTTGGCATGGACAAGTTGGATCGAACAGTCTGTTTCCATGCTGTACATCTCTATGACTCAATGATTCTATACTAACACTGACTGTTAGGATCTACTACATGGTTTGCTTCTTGCATTGGCTTGTCAAGAGTCTTGTTAAATTGTTTAAACTTTAAACTGGTTAGAATTTCCTGATCTCCTATGATAATATGGTCCTTCTCCTCACAGAATCTGTCTGTGATTCTTCCTGATTACCATTTCTAGCAGAATCTGAATAGAGTTCTTTAAAGTCAAAGCTTCTTTGGACTGTAATAAATCTGAATGGATTTCAAAAGGAAGTTATATTGAAGAATATAAACTTGTAGAGTTCCAGAGTTAAGTGGGGGAATGGGATTGGCTGGATTGCTCTGCAGGGAGCCCACAGAGAGAAGCTGGAGTAAGCTGGAACTATTCCCATTATTGCAGAGAAGTTTAAGAGGAAATTTAATAGTAGTATTCCAAGTCATGACAAAGTAGATTTTTGATGCTTAACACACTTCCATTACAAGCGGTTAGAGGAACATAAACACATTAATAATCATTAAAGCTTAATATTGACTAATGTCAGAATAAGGATCACTGCAAATTGAGCGAAATGAACACATTCAACGTGCTGCCCAATGGACAATATTCTGTTAGCAAAGCCTGAAAGTTTACCCTCAAATGGGGTCATTTTAACCTTATTATAAAACTTTGCCAATAAAGGCATGATTTGCTAATGGAATACAATGAGAGACTGTGGGCAGAGAGAGCAAGGTCAAGATTTCTAATTTGTATTGTTTAATTATTAGATTTGGCCCACCTTAATACCAACTGTGCAGGGTGGACATGTACAAGTGCAGAGTGATGTGGAGGGAGGGCTGCAGTCTGAGCAAGATGCAGCTCCTTCTGTTCTTGGTATGTGGATTTCCATTTGTTTACCTACACAGAGTTTGAGTAAAGTCCAGGGTCTTTAAATTTGAAGCATAATCTATACTTAGAGCAATGAATGTTGATGCTTTAGGAATGCAATACTGAGCATGTCCTCCATTGTTTCATTTAATCAGTTTGAAGCCACTGAGGAGACAGAGGGCCCACAAGTTTTGTTTCTGCAGTTCTCATTATTTCTACAATCTACTTAGGATATTCAGAAATAGTGACTCTCTGGCTTAGATTGAACTGAACAGAAAGAGTTAACAGCTTCCAAGCATTTTGTTTGTTGCACAGATTAGGTGTGGTTCACTTTGGAATCCAGTTTTAGCTTGTTCACACAGCTGTTGGTGCTTGCTTCCTCAATGGCTGCTCTAGATTCCTCACCGCTGGGAAAGCAGCTCACTTGTTCGATCTGTTTAGATTTCTTCAAATCTCCAGTAACATTAACCTCTTGTGGACATAACTTTTGTAAAGGATGCCTTGAACACTTCTGGGAAATGATCCACATCCATAGCTGCCCACAATGCAAGGAAATATTTGATACAGGCCTGCCTCTCCAGGAGAATGCCGATTTGAATGGACTGGTGGAAAAATGGAAAGAAGGTTTGACCGAATCTCAAGAGCTTGAATGCAAAGTTGGACAAGAGACTGAGGTTCTGGAACAAAGCTGTCAATCCAAACCAAAGGCTAAATTGGAAATAGGTAAGGAATGCAAGCAAGAGCTAACTTGTAAACCAGTAGACACTGAGTGTAAGACTACAATTGAAAATGAACAAAATGATGACATTGTCACTGATCCTGATGAAGTGGCTTGTGACTCCTGCATTGATAAGAAGTTAAAAGCTGTAAAGTCCTGTCTGACCTGCATGGTGTCCTACTGTGGAAGTCACCTGAGGCCTCACCTTGAAAATGCAGCCTTTAAAAATCATAAACTGATTCACCCAATGAAAAACATTGAACAGGGAAAATGCTGTCTGCATGAGCGGTATCTAGAGTTCTTCTGTAAAAATGATCAGTGCTGCATCTGTACGGAGTGCACAGTGGAGAAACACGTAAATCACGACATAATCTCTGTGGCAAGGGCGACAACTGAAAAGGAGGTCAGTATGAACTAACCAGCAGAGGGGAATGAGTTAAAAAGATAAAAATCAGGACAAGGTTACACTAAACAATAAAGCAGAGAGGTTCAGCTGATTACAGAAAAGGGTTACAGAGTCCTTTCCCTCAAAACTGACTGACTTGCAATGAACCATTTTTACAAACTCTTTTGACAGTTTATAAAAAAACACTTTGTCACAGACTCAGCATTAGGCTATATCGTGGTTTTGAATAAAAATCAATTAATACTGGAGTAAATACCTACACTGAAAATTGGAAGCAAATTTGGATCAAATTAAAAAAATGATTAAAATATCTAAACAATGCTGCAATGAATTGTGTTGTTCCTTCTAAAAGAAATCCTATCATGATAATTTAGAAGTTGGAGTGACTGTAGTAAGGTTTAGTCATTTCATTCCCTTTGTTAATGCTTCTACCATTCTTTTCTTATCTGTTTTTGTTGGGACATGATTTGTATTAGAAGGTATGTGCATCTGGCACAGATATAATGAATACTTTTCAGTTTAGTTGGTAAAGCCTTTGACAAGATTCTGCATGGTAAACTAAGTAGTAAAGTTAGATCACATGGGATTCAGGGTGAGCTTGCCAATTGGATACAAAATTGGCTTTATGGTAAAGACAGAGGGTGAATTGTTTTTTCAGATTGGAGGCCTGTGACCAGCGGTGTTCCATGGGGATCAGTACAGGGTCCACTTTGTTTGTCATTTATATAAGTGATTTAGATGAGAATATAGGATGCATGGTTAGTAAATTTGCAGATGACACCAAAACTGGTGGTACAGTGGACAGCAAAGAAGGTTATCTGAGATTACAAAAAGATATTGTTCGATTGGATCAATGGGCTGAGGCATGGCAGATGGAGATTAATTTGGATAAATGTGAGTATTGGATTTTGGTAATACAAACAAGGACAGGACTTCTACGGGTAATGGTAGGGCCCTGGTTAATGTTGTAGAGCAGAGGGATTCAGGTACATAATTCTTTGAAACTTGTTTCACAGGTAGTTAAGAAGGCATTTAGCAAGCTTGCCTTTACTGCTTAGAACTTTGAGAATTGGAGTTGGGTCATCATGCTGAGGTCGTACAGAACATTGGTGAAGCCTGCTCTGGAGAACTGTGTGCAATTCTGATTGCTCTGCTCTGTTATAGGAAGAATATTATTAAACTGGAAAGGGTTCAGAAAAGATTTACTGGGATGTTGCTGGGAATGGAGGGTTTGAAGTTAAAAAAAAATTGACTGGAAAGACTGGGACATTTTTCACTGGGGCATAGGAGGTTGAGGGGTGACCTTACTGAAGTTTATAAAATCATGAGAGACATTGATAAGATGAATGACAAGGGCCTTTTTCACAGGATGGGTGAGTTCAAAACTAAGGGGCATATTTTTAAGGTGAGAGGAGAAAGATTTATAAAGGACGTTTTACACAGAGAGTGGTTCATACGTGGAATGAACTGCCAGAGAAATTAATGGATGCGGATACAGGTACAACATTTAAAATACGTTTGGATAAGTATCTGAATAGGACAGATTTAGAGAGATATGGGCCAAATGCAGACAGGTAGGACTAGTTTAGTTTGGGAACATGGTTGGCATGGACTAGTTAGACTGAAGGGTCTGTTTCTATGCTGTATTACTCTATGACTCCAGTGAGGAGATAGAAATGTTTCGCTTTTACGGGTATGTCAGCACGTTCTGTTTTCCATCTTTCAGATGAGATGTTACACATCGTGGGGGGTTGATGACCCGATGGCACCCCTTTGAAAATAGCAGGGGAGATCTCAGTGTGTGCTGCGCAATATTGATCACAATTTGTTGTCCGTCTGCTGCTGGATTTTGCAGTGTGCCACATTGGTTATAATATATCTTATGCTACATCACAAAAAGTATTTTATTAACATCCTGAGGCCATGACAAAAGCTTTACAAATAACAATTAGTTATTTATTTCCTTCATTAATGGAGGTAACAATGTGTCTGATTAATATTGTGGGGAATGTTGTGTCTTCTGGTACCTCATCTAAGCATCTATTCTTCAGCATTATCTTTGGCGACATATAGTCCTGAGTTTCTGCCTTTGAACATTCTGCAGTGATCCTGTTGTAAAGTTGATATATAATGAATACTGAGTAAAGTCAGGGTGACTATTGGCTGCACAACTGCCGTGATGTGCATGTATCATACAATGCAGTCTATCATTACCCAGTATGATTTGGAAATAATGTGGAATTCTACGTACTCTGAGGGTAGGAGAGTATAGCAGTTCTGGAGGTCAGACATATTTACAGTGTCTCTCAGTTGTAATTGTCTGTTATCGCAACCAGTCCCTGGATGAGGTTCCACAATTTGTTACGCACATGCTTCAAAGGTTAAGCTCTTGGGTGAGGAGAGAAGAACTGGCGCCCCTTGATTATCCACTTGTCCCTTTGATGGTAACAACAAGGTTAAACTACAAAGAATTCCTTTTTCCCTACACTCAAATGAACCCATGTTTTAAAAGGAATCAATTTAACTCAGCTTTCTTGAATTAACAGAAAATTAAGTTTATTAATTACAAATCAGTTAATAGTTGTTTTTCAATTCTATCTGAGTTACTTGAATTCTGGACAGGGAGTCCAATAATCACTTTCAATTTTTGAGCAACGTGGGTGATTTTTCAGGATACGGTTGAACAAACGATTTCCAGTGGAATAACCTGTCATGCCGGGCCTTAAATTTGGATTGTTGGGTGTTTCAACACTGAAAAATTTGTTGTATTTCAATGTGTTGAGTTTCAAGTAAAATATTGTTAATCTTCAGTATACTTGTAGTCCATGCATACCAGTTATTTCTGTATTTTTCACAATGAACTTCCAGAATGTACTTCGGGAAACCAAAATCAATGTCGACAAGAAAATTAAAGCAGTGGAGAATGCTATCAAGAAGCTACAGAGCAACATTTCCTGCATCTTTGTGAGTTAACAGCATTCCTCTTTGTGGATCATGTCAGATTCTGAGGGATTTTGACAGGGTAAATGCTGAGAGGCTGTTTCTCCTCTTGGGGGATATCCGGAACTTGATGATATAGTTTAAAAGTAAGGGATGTCCCAATTAAGATGAAGACGAGGAGAATTGTTTTCTTTTATAGATTCACTAGCCTTAGAATCCACTTCCCCGGAAAGCTGGGTCATTGGACGTATTCAGGGCTGAGTTTGAGAGGATTTTGATTTATGAGGGTTATGGGTGTAGAGGTAAGAAAGTGGAGTTAAGGTCACAATCAGATCGGTCATGATCTTATTAAATGGTGGAGTAGTCCTTATGGATCAAATGGTCTACTACTGCTTCTATTTCTTATATTTCCTATTCCCATGTGTACCAAGGCCCTGTGTATCTAGTGTGAATGTAGGTTAGGGAGTTTGAATTTTGTAAACAGTAATATTTATCTTCATTTTCCAATAAATATCAAAAATGGGTGACAGAAATCCCCATTTGAACATTATGAGAATGAGCTCTTGTTTAAAAAATATTCTTAGTACCTCTCTTTTCCCTAACAAACACAGCGAACTGGTTTGAAGAACAGTCTTACCAGACTCAAAATTTTAACTCTGCTCTCCACAGACGTTGCCAGAACTGCTAAGCTTCTCTGGCATTCTCTGCACTTGGTTCAGAATTTCAGCATCTGCAGTATCTTGCCTTTCTTTATCCTGCTCTTCTTTCTCTTCTAAAGGTGCTATTATATGCCAGGATATAATTCCACAGAGATAAATTGACCCAACAACTTCACCCGATTCCTCATAAGTGAGCCAACTGACAAGTATTGACATTTAAGAAGCAAACCTGTCCCTATCTAAATCCAATTTCCCTACAAGCATGCTTTGCATCACAAAGACTTGCAGAGTTATTAGGAACAGGAAACCCTCTTTTACTGGACCTGAGCACTGTGGCCCATTTTACTTTATCCATATGGATAAACATATGGATGATAATGGAATAGTGTAGGTTAGATGGGCTTCAGATTGGTTTCACAGGTCGGCGCAACATCGAGGGCCGAAGGGCCTGTACTGCGCTGTAATGTTCTATGTTCTATGTTCACCTGACCTCTCACTTCTGTTGCGTTGAACTCCGAAACATGTTTTCAGTCTGCCCAAAGCACTGTTTGTTCAGACAGGAATTTCACTGCAACATTAGGGCTACTGGAGATGTTGGAAATCTGTAACATAAACAGAAAATGATGGAAACAACTCAGGAGTCTTCATTGGAGAGAGAAGCAGGGTTAATATTTGGTTCTTTTGAGATGTCACAACCAGAAAAATGAACTTTGTTTCTTTCTGCACAGAGACACACTGACTTGCTGTGTATTCCCAGAATTTTCTGTTTTTAATATTGTGTAACCACCCATCCTCCTCCCTCCCTGATGGTCCTGGAATCTGCCAGACTTAAAGATTAAAATTCCAAATGCTGTTGCAAGCCATCTAGAAGACAAATCATTCAGGATTCTAAAATTATAAATCATCAATCCGATCGATTTTGTTACCAGTCTCTCGTTGGTCTTTTACAATCTAGGATATGCTCCTGCTGCTGACAAGATAGCAAGACAAATAATCCTTGCTCAGCAATCTTACTGGTGTTCTGATATGTACAACACTACAATGGAGTCACTGCTGTTTCACTTGACTTTAGCACCTAAAGTAAATCTGGACTCATGCTGCAAATTTGTAGAATATATTCAAACACAATTGATAGTTTACTGGCAATAGTTGTCATGACAAGAGTGCACACTCTCTGGGATTGAAATATTCAACACTGTCATCAGTCTCTGTGGAGAGAACAGCCAAGTACACGGAGGCAATTTTCTCTGAATACTATTGGCAATAAATGTGGTGACCTGACACTGAACATATTCACATGAGACTGTCAATGTACTTTTAATAAAAGAACCAAAGGTTTATCAGACAAAAGAAAAATACAAGAAATAGCTATTTGTATCAGATACCTTTAAAATATTTTTGTAGACAGCAAACAGAAAACTAAAATCCTTGTAATCCCAGCGATAATCTTTACAGACAGTCAACTCCAATGTGGCGTTAGTCCTTTCTTCATTTTAATATTTTTTACTGAATGACAAGTGGCAAATATTTCCTTTTGGGGACTTTCTGTACATTCCCAAGGCCTTCTGACTTTATCAAAAAAAGATCAGAACTCCACAGTATTGAAAAGCAAAAACCCAATTTAACTCTATTTTAAAAGCAAGTTCCCATATAATAATAGCACAATAAACGCCTTTTCACAGTTTGCAGAAGACTAATGTGCGGAAGTAGGCCCTTATTCATAAAGGAAATCAATGGCAGAATAAAGATGATACATCGAAAAGATGCTTAGAAATACATGGGGAAGTAAATGATTTTCCATCAAGCATGCAGATTGCAGTGTTACACAGGGACTTCTTATAGATGTTGGTGCAGACATCTATTTCCTTATCGATGATGATGACCTTATACTTTCCAATGGAGTTCCAGAAATGTTCTTACCTACAGAGAAGCTGATTTCTTACTCTACCTCTGCGTACAGCTTTCCCTCAGCCCCCGTCCCCCTAAACCCCACTTCCCAGGCAATGACCAGGGAGCGTATACATCCTGGACATCCTCCAAGAGAGTTGAGAATTAGGTTCAAGATTAGTATCGCAAGCAAACAAAACTTGTTCAGTGGTGGGAAGTGGAAATAAATAATTAATTGTTCATGGTTAAATGTCAATGATTCAAAGGTGCACCATAACAGAAATTGGTGGAGATGTCAGCGAAAAGGGTATTTATTACTTTTATTTTGGGACCTGTAAATGTGTGAAATGTAAGGCTCTAGTTTACGATCAGTAACTAGCTGATTTTTACATTGTTCTAATCACCCCCAGATCCCTAGTTCTGACACTGGACTTATTTAGAGAATGTGAAATGAAGAAGGTAGAAGACAGGTGTTTCAGGGGCAAAAGAATGTCTGCATTTGTTAAATATAAAAGGCGAGCATATTACAAGAAATAAAGGCAAATACAAAACAGTGTAATTGACACTACCAATTATACAGAGGACAGTCCTTAAATACATGATTGAACACTATTAGAAGCTAAATAGTAGTTTTAATCAGGCTTCTTACCCTTCAGGTTCCCTGCAGTGTCAACATCCACCTTCCCCTCCCTGCTAGCTAGGTTGGATACTTTGGGGTCTTGAGAATATAAGCTCACCACTGGGGATAAACGCGATTTTGAAACACAGCTGGCCATTCCCGCTTGCTGTAGCCCATGCTTCGATGAAGACATTGGACAGTGTAGGTCTGAGATAACAAGGTGTAGAGCTGGATGAACACAGCAGGCCAAGCAGCATCAGAGGAGCAGGAAGGCTGACGTTTCGGGCCTAGACCCTTCTTCAGGACAGTGTAGGTCTTCAGTCTGGGTTGAGTCTGACGCAGTAGGGTGCGTTTGGGATTTATCAGGTGAGTCCTTGGTTTTCCTTACTATGTGGTGTTTTCACGAGCCAATTTTCACCTCAGGATGTGCCTGAGGCCTTGTCAGTTGGATTGGTGGTTTTTGGAGGTTGTCGATCGTCAGGTCTGCTGGCCGTGATCGGTTGCTGTTGGTTTCCCTGTTACGGAACAGGCCTATGATCCATCGGGATCCCTCTCCTGCTGGTAGTTGTGGGGATAACTCCCAGGGTGAATTGCTCCTTGGGATCCCCCTTCTGGAGATAGCTGTGAGGATCGCTCTCAGGGCAGTAGCTCTTTCGGATCCTTCTCCTGGTAGTAGCTGGGGATAGCTCCCGGGGTGAATCACAATCTTGAATCCCTCTTCCAGAGGTAGCTGTGCAGATAGCTCTTGGGGAGATAGCTCTCTCTCTCAGGTGAGGTCGGGGCTTCTTGTCTCTTTTCTCTTGTTTTCGCACCAAATCTGTGCTTGCTGTTGTGTTACTGCTGTTCCTTTTTGAGGCAATTGGCTTCCTGATAGTTGAGTAGGTGAAAATGTATCTTGGTTAAGTGGAATGTCTGGTAGCTCTGCGCATGAATATTGGTCGAATTTGAATGTCTGGTATATTCAGCGCCCCCATTCCATCTGGGCTGGGTGGGGTTTAAGCCTGGTTGATTGTCCTTTTAGAGTGAATCTGTGAATAGGATTTTCGGGCTGAACAATGGTTCCAAAGCAGCAGTTTTGATGAAGGGTGTAAACCTAAAATGTCGACTTTCCTGCCCCTCTGTTGCTGACTGACCTGCTGTTTTCCTCCAGCTCCAAATGGTATTGACTCTGACTCCACATCTGCAGTTCTTGCTATCTCCTATCTCTGTGCCTGTATTTTTCCCAGAGCCCTCAGCCCAACTGCTTTTCTATTAAATCCCTTCTAAAAGTTTTTGAAAAGTCCAGACTTTTGGACAGGTATTTTAAATGATAGGGATTTTTGCTCAATCCTACAGAAAGTACCTTTGTCATAGCGATATCAGATTATATGGAATTGGAGCCTGAAAGGTTCCAGAAGGATCTCCTCTTTTACCATGCCTTGTGAATCATTATGTTTCGTAAAGCTTATAAATATTCGTACAGATCAGTGTAGATGTCATCTTATTAGAGGGTCTTGAAGATTTCAAATTATGGGACTGTGACTATATTCCCTGCTGATACAGGACAAATTGTCCTGCTCTGGACCTCCAGCACCAGGATGTCTCCCTTCATTGTTGAGGTACCCTGCAACATACTGCAGTATCCCAGTTAGAGCACTTCATACCTTTAGTGGAAATGAGTGAAAGAAGGCCATGTGCACTGCTCCATGAAAGTTGCATCTAACCCACCAATGAGTACTTAATTTGCAGAGTATGCTTTAGCACTTATAAGCAACTTCAAATGATGCTAATTTACAATTAGAACCAAACTTGCTTGGTGAATCCAGACTTTTACGCAGGTCAAGTTTAATTGGCCCCCAGTTGGCACCTGTATTCACACTTTGGCCAGAGGAATCCAAACAGTTTCAGGTCTTCAGTGAGGGTTTCCAGCATTTCCAATTTTTCAGATTTCCAATGTTTATAAAAAATTATTTGGTGCACTATTTGGAATAGAGTGCTATGCATTTGCTCCAAAATTACATTGAGGCATATTTTCATTAATTTGGTGGACATTCACTTACTCTGGGTATTGTGTGGTTTTCAGGCAATGTTTCCCAGTTCAAATTGGTGGAAGTTCTAAGGGAAACATTAAGAGTTTTTGATATTACATTGATAATTTTGTGTGTCTGAGTACATTGTCTTATTCTAGAACTCGGTATCAGAGGTGAAATCCAAGGTTGAAAAGCAATTCAAGGACCTCATGGAGGCTGTTCAAATTGCACAGAGAGAGGTGCTTGGTTTTCTGGACGATAGTGAACAAAAGTCACTGAAGCAGGCCAGTGGGATCCGCACTCATCTGGAAAACAATAGCATGCAGCTGAAAAAGACCAAGCAACAAGTAGAAGCCCTGATGAAACTGAAGAATAGGGTGCAGTTTTTACAGGTGAGCAATGCCACATGCATCAGCAAACTTTCAGCTTTATAATCACCATGATCGACCACTCAAAACAGCAGTTTGGTGAGCACAATTTTATAACATTTGCGGTTAATGTTTCCTTATGGAAGAAGGTACATGTGGGTTTGCGATGGAGGGTTGAGTGAATTGTGTGAATTGTCAACAATTCCAACACAGAACAAAGCATTGCTGTAAAGCAACACACTTTGCCAAAGCTTTGCATGTCACACTGGTCAGACTAATTTGCATGAAATGCCAAAGTAAGGGGAAAACAATATTTATTCTATATGAAAGGAGAGCGCTGATTTGTTAGTGAGTAGTTTCTCATTGTTTGATGTGTTGCCAAGGAGAATGTGCCAGTTATGATGACTGCCGAGCTTTGTTTAAATTTTAAACAAGGCAGGTTGACTCTGATCAAAGCATTGCCCTGAGAAATGAACAAGAAAATGGCTGTCACCTGTTTTGTTGGTTGAAACAGGCACACCACTTTTTCCATTTGCATGGAATGGGATCCTGTGTATTAACATATAAGCAGCTTCCAGTATATGAAGGTACATCATACTTTGAACCAATTGATTCCTCCCACTTCCTACAAACCAGAGGGGTGGCTATGGATACCTGCATGGGCCTGAGCTACGCCTGCACCTCTCTTTTTAGGATTTGTAGAACAGCCTATCTTCAACAACTACACTGGCACCATCTCGCACCTCTTTCTCCGCTATATTGATGATTTATCAGTGCTGCCTCGTGCTCGTAAAGTTCATCAACTTTGCCAACACTTTCCATTGTACCCTCAAATTCACCTGGACCATTTCTGCCACCTCACTCCCCTTCCTGGACCTCTCCAGTAACCAACTCACCACTGAAATTCATTTCAAACCCACTGACTCCCACAATTACCTCGACTACAAATCCACTCACCCACCCTCCTGCAAAAGTTGTATTCCATATGCACAATTGCTCTGCCTCCGTCTCATGTGCTCCCAGGATGAGGTGTTCTACTCTAGGACTTCTCAGATATCCTCCTACTTTAGAGACCATAGTTTCCCCTCCTCTGTTATTAAGGATGCCCTCAACTGCATCTCCCCCATTTCCCACGCTTCTGCCTTCAAACTCTCTCCTCACAACAACAATAGAGTCCCCTTAGTGCTCACATACTACCCCACCAACCTCTGAATACAATGCATCATCCTCTGACATTACCGCTACTTATAATCAGACCCCGTCACCAAAAAGATATTTCCCTCCCCACTCCTGTCTGCTTTCCGCAGGGACAATTCACTCCGCAACTCCCTCGTCATCTCCACACTCCCCACCCATCCCTCTGCCAGACCCCGTACCTTTCCCGGCAACCACAGGAGGCACAGCACCTGCCCCTACACCTCCCCTCTCGCCTCCATCCAAGGCCCCAAACAATCCTTCCACATCTGGCAGACATTCACCTGCAGTTTGTCTAACCTCATCTGCAGTATCCATGGCTCCCGATGTGCTCTCCTTTATGTCAGGGAGACCAAAAGCAGACTCGGGGGCCAGTTTGCGGAGCATCTGCACTCTGCAAGCATCAACCAACCCAACCTTCCGGTTGCCATCCACTTTAACTCCCCCTCCCACTTCCCTGGCAATACGTTCACCCTTGGCCTCCTCCACTGTCGGGGTGAGGCCAAATGTAAACTGGAGGAACAACACCTGATATTTCACCTTGGGAGCTTACAGCCCAATGGCCTCAATATTGAATTCACTGGCTTCAAAAATCTCTCCTTCCTCAACCTGTCCATCTTCTGAATCTCCTAACCACTCCACCCTTCCCACTGACCAACCACAATAACACTCCACCTGCATCACCTGCTTCAAAACCTAGCCAGTCCCAACCCGTCCATCTTCCTACTCCCCCATCTGCTCCATACTTCTCACTGACCAACACAATAACCCCCTACCTGCATCCACCTATCTCCATCTCACCTACACTTCCCCTAGCCCCACCTCCTCTCTATTTCTGGGCACCTCTCCCCCTCCTCAGTCCTGAGAAAGCGTTTTGGCCTGAAACGTTGCCTTTCCTGCTCCTCGGATGTTGTCTGGCCTGCTGTGCTTTTCCAGCTTCGTATATATTGTGAACCCGGCTGATAATTCTTAATGGTTGCTAGCCTAATTGTGTGCAGTTTTGGGCCCCATATCTCAGGAAGGATGTACCGGCCCTGGAGCAGATTCAGAGGAGGTTCACAAGAATGGTCCCAGGAAAGGAAAGCTTAACATATGAGGAATGTTTGAGGAGTCTGGGACTAAACTCATTTAGAAGGTTTGAGTTTAGAAGGATGAGGGGTGATCTAATTGAAACTTACAGAATACTGAATGGCCTGGACAAAGTGGATGTTGGAAGATGTTTCCATTGGTAGGAGAGTCTAGGACCTGGAGGCACGGCCTTAGAGTAAAGGGAAGACCTTTTAGAACGGAGATAAGGGGAAACTTCTTCAGCCAGAGAGTGGTGAATCTATGGAATTCACTGCCACAGAAGGCTGTGGAGGCCAGGCCATTGAGTACATTTAAGACTGAGATAGATAGGTTCTTGATTATCAAGGGGATCAAGGGTTACGGGGACAAAGCGGGAGAATGGGGTTGAGGAACTTATCAGCCATGATTGAATGGCAGAGCAGACTCGATGGACTGAATGGCCTAATTTCTGCTCCTGTGTCTTATGGTCTTATCAAGAAAATGTTGTCTGATTGTGGAACTAAAAATAGGGAATTCTGGTCAACACTTCAAAGGAAGTTTAAGACAGAGTAGAACACTAAAATTTTGTTTTACCTTTGACTTGGATAAAAGTAAAACACGGTCTTTTATTAAAGAAATCCTACTGTTTATAGCAGCATTTCCCATCACTACTGAATATCCCAAAACATTAAATACATTTATAATGTGGTCACTGTCACAATACACGAAATATGGCAGCCAATTTACGTGTAGTAAGTCCCCACAAGCAATGTAATGACCAGATAATCTGAGTTTACTGTTGATTCAGGGAAATTGTTGGGTAGGATATCCAAGATAGCTTCCCTACTGTTCTTTGAAATAATGCCATTAGATCTTTTATATTCCACTGATTTAGCAGGTAGGCTTTGGTTTAACATCTTATCGAAAAGACTGCAATGGAGTGGAATATCAGATGAGAGTTTTGTACCCAAGACCTCCTTTGGGGATACAGAACTTTCTGGCATCAAAGATGTGAAAACTATCAACTGAACCACAGTTGACGAACGAGCAACATTGGCAGAGATCTGTTGAGCTGAATAGTTTGTCTGTGCTGTAAAATTCAATGCCATTCACAGCATAAAAAGATTAAGACAACTCATAAGAAACACATAGATTTTCATTGACTATATTATAATAAGAATAGGTTTCTTGTCTGCCTTTTTAAGGTCACTAAGTGCCGTGAGGTTCTTGGAACCTTAGAAATACAAATAAGAAGGATTATTTAAGAAAGAACAAGGGATTCTTTACAAAAGGGCTCACTAACTAGATATGTAAATTTCCCAAACTATCTTGAAGTTTTTGAAAAAGGCATCTAATTTATTTGCATTTACTGTTAATTCCTTGCATCTAATACTTTTCAGTGCATTATGGAAATTATTATTTAGGAATTCTGTGAATGGAAGAAAAGCAGACCGGATGATATGCTGCCCAGTGTGTACATTGGATTGATAGACAAACTTGCTGGAATTAGTGCAGCTGTTTCAGAATCGACAGAAAACATTAAACAATTGCTACAGACTTCCTATAAGGAGAAGTTGAATGCATATTCAAAAGAAGGTTTGTTCACTGTTTCTCTTTACTAGTTACTGCACTTAATACATTGTCCACTGAATTCACATCATTATACTAAAGTAACTATTCCCCCATTCATCAAGAAAAGTTGGAAAGACATTGTACAATAAAATGGCAACAATGAGTTGTACAATCAATTTGGCCAGAATTTGATGGAGTGAGGCATCTCATGGTGTGGCCAGTTAGTGAGACGATTTCCAGCACTATTCAGCTCAAAAACAATTTTCCCACCATGTCACTGGAAGTGCAAGTGGCTAAAAGTATAAACAGTGCATCCAAGACAATAGTGAGCAAAGAGATCAACAGCATAGCATCTTAATTGAGGAGTTTTAAAAATTAAAACAAAAGGAAAGAGGAAGCAAGAATGTTTAACGGAGCATAGCGTAATAAATGGAGAAAAATTAAGATCAAATTAAGAGAGATGAAAAACTAGAAATAAAAGTAATAAAGCAAAATTGAGAATGTAAATATATCCATGTAAAATGCTCAATGCCAATTTACTATTTGAAAGAATAACTGTTAATTAACTAAATTAACTGTTCATTTCCTACACCAGAGAAATTGATTGGCAGTCATTGATGATTATCATATTGCAGTAAGGGTACTAATATTCAGACTAGATTTACCTTTTGTGGCCAGTTTAATGGGCACTTCAAAACTACAAAAATAACTTGAAAGTCGTGGGCACCTTTAAGGTGAAGTTAATGGCCCAGAACTTGTGGTGATCCATCGTTCATGGAGTCTTCCTTTCTTGTTACAGGTTAATTTATGGTCTTATTATTTGCAGAATAATTTGCCCAATATGTTTACCCAGGATTTTTATTCTTCACAAACTTCCTTGAATGAAATATTACTCCCTGTATTCATTGAAAGACCAATTTTGTCAAACAGAACAGCTAACATTTATAATTGACCCTCTGGAGGGAGTAGAACTGGTGCTGTGCTCACACGCATTGAAATAAGAAATATTGGGCTAAATTGTACCATTTGAACTATGAGTCTGGCATCAGTCTGATTTCTGAGTGTCAAACATGGATGTACACACGGTGGGATATTGGTTGTGATCTTCCCAGAGGAGGGCAATTAAGAAGTTGTCCCAGGTACCAACATTAAATTAAAGATCGCGGGATGCCTGAGGATGTGGCCGGCCAATCAGATTGTCCAGGGTGATAGCCTTGTGGCAGCACTGGTATGAATGTCCACGTTTGAGGCCCCAGTGCTATCGATGGGATCAGCAGCCACTTTCTCACACCCAACACTATCTGCTGGATCTATAACATTTGCAAGCATTACCTGCAAGATTGACAGTTTCACCTTGAAAGTAACTCAAGTTCTGCATCCCACTCCTGACATTACTTGACCCATCGAGGGGTAAGGGGCGGGGAGCTCCAGTCAAACGGAGACCCCAGCAGCTTTTAGTGGGTGAGTTGATGTCAGGCAAGGGTGGAGAAGTGGGATGTCCTATGCCCATCAACAGCAATCTCCCGAGCTCATATACCTCTTCAAACACTTGCTCCTCACTGTTCTCTCAAGCTGAGTCTTCCTCCCCTGTTTGCTATTGCCTGCCGGTCAGTCCTTACTGATATCTTATATCTTACTGGACTTGCACTGATACTGGGGACCATTTCTCCAACCTGGTACTGCTGAGATAAGTGGATTGGTTGACAGATCTCTAAGGAGGGTCAGGTGGAGGTCTTGCCCTGAGCCAATTAAAACCTTGCCAATTGTCACAAAGCCATGGGCCAGCTCGCCACTTTGTGAGAGGACTGACGTCTGTAAGAGGGTCGTGGGATGGGGATGTGTGTGGGGAATGTGGGAACATAGCACCTCCTAAAATCCAGTTCATTTATAAAAAGCACAAAGTTAAGTAATAAAGACAGACCAAATATTCAAAGAATGTCTATATAAATTCTTCACGTTTGTTTTTCTCTCTTCTTATAGAGCAATTAGGATTTAAGACAACAGTGGCTGTGATTTGTGCTTTAAAACATGCCCGACGAGAAAAGCAACCAAAGACCAGGAGTGAATTTCTGAAATGTGAGCATCTTTATATTGAGCTTGACTTTTGAATAAGTATTTAACCTGATGCAATATATTTTATTTTACTACTTTCAAGAGGTTCTTTCAGCTCAATGTGATAGATGGAGACTATCACTGCAAACTATTGAAATAATATTTGTTGTTTTAAGAGTACTATCCTGTCAGTCATCTTTATCATTGATGTATTAATCTTTCACAATTTCTGTTTGACCAAGTTGCTGTTTAGCTGGATTAAATTTGTGTGGTTTGGGAATTTCAATATATAGTTCTGAGAGATTCTTTATTCTCTATTCATTCACGGGATATGGGTGTCACTGGCTAGGTAGCATTTATTGCCCATCCCTAATTGCCCCGAGGACAGTTAAGAGTCCACCACATTGCTGCAGGTCTGGAGTCACATGTAGGCCAGACCAGGTAAGGTTGGCAGTTTCCTGCCCTAAAGGACATGAGTGAACCGGATGGGTTTTTACTGACAATCGGCGATGGATTCACAGTCATCATTTAGATCCTTAAATCCAGACACTTACTGAATTCAAATTCCACCATCTGCCATGGTGGGATTTGAACCCTGGACTCCAGAACGTTATCTAGCTCTCTGGATTAACAGTCCAGCAATAATGCCACTAGGCCATCGCCTCCCCCAAGAGAAGTAGAGTTTGTGTTCTAAGGATGCAGGAAGCTGAGAATACGACAGGAATCTGTCAGAAAGAACATCCATCTCTCGATCAAATTTAACCCCATTTAATTTAGCATAGAATTGATATATAATCTTCCCTGGAGTCTGTTCTATCACATCTTCACCATTCTGGAGAGAGAAATGCCCTTTAGGTTCCAGTCTAACCTATGGTTTGCTATGTTAAAATGCATTCAAAGTTTCTGTGCTCTGACTAAATCAGTTATGCTGTGCACATCTACAACAATGATATATCTAAGTAGTTTGCACAATCAGCCAGGTCTAAAAGCATTAAATAGGTTATATTTGTTTTATGATGCTAGATACTGCGGTGTTAGCTTATTTGATAATGAGGTGTGTGAGTTAGTTATTGCCTGGATTTGTAGGTAACAGATTCAGGTATTACGCAACTCACGGTCAAATCTTTGAATATTTTCTGAGAGGCTAGGACTTGAGTTTGAATGTATTCCAGCTGAAGGCGTTTCTCTGTCTCAATTTTTCTCTCTCAAACCTACTACAGATATCAGCTTCAACGGTGGCATCACTGTCAAATTTCAAGTGGCAATGAGCTGCAGGCCAAATATGCCTCGAATTCAAAATACAGCAGATGCTGAAAATATGACATTAAAAATAAATGGAGATGCTGGAAATAGCAGCATCTGTACAGACAGAGAGAAACAGAATTAAGGAAGGTGATTTTTGCTTTAGTGGGTTGGGGCCTCACTATTATGTCAAATGGGGGTCACAACCCTACACAATGGGCGCAACATCATTGAAATAAAACCAGAATATGCTGGGAAAGCTCAGAAGGTCTGGCATTATCTACGAATAGAGAAACAGAGTTAATGTTTCAAGTCTAATGGTTCTTATTCAGAAAATCATTGAGGTGTTGATTGGCTTGACTTTTCATTCATAGGATGGGGTTGCCTCTAACCAGGCCAGCATTTATTGCCCAGAGGATGGTTAAGAGTCAACTACATTGCTGTAGGTCTGGAGTCCCATGTAGGCTAGACTGGGTAAGGATGGCAGTTTCTTTCCCTAAAAGACATTAGTGAACCAGATGGGCTTTTCCAGCAATTGACAATGATTTCATGGTCATCATTAGACTTTTAATTCCAGATTTTTATCGAATTCAAATTTCATTACTTGGTTCTCTGGATTCAAACCAATTATTTGGGTCTCTGGATTAACAATCCAGCAATAATAACACTAGGCCATTACCTCCTGACTGATGGCTGGAGATCTGGTGAGATATCCATACTGACTGTTCTGGAGAAAGCAAATACCAATCAAGCAGTGGTGAAGTCACTGGCAGACCTTCCCCGGAATCAAGACACCTGGGGTGGAAATACCACCCAGTCAGACCCACCGTGGGATCAGAGGCTGGCAGCTTATCCTCTCAGCAGTACAATGGTGGAAGCTGTGGCTGCTGCTGGAACAGCACCCCTCAGATCCCAGGGTCATGAAGGATTTGGGGCGAGTGTAACTACTGACCAACGAGCTAATCTGAGGAACAGTGACCTGACCCTGATTTTAACCCAAAACGGACTACAGGATGAGATTGCCATCTAATGCAGAACAGGGGGCGCGTTCTTACACCTGGGGGCCTATTGGAGGCCCTCCAACCTTGAAGCAGCAGGCCACCTTAATAAGGAAATGGGTAGGGTGTGCAGGCCTTCACTTTTGAAACTTCAAAAGTCAGCAGTTGGGCCGCCATTGTGGAGGGTGACTGCAGACATGACTATGTGAGAAGGCCATAAAGCTTACCTGGAACACTAGCTCCCATATCTGCTTTAGGGAGGCCTACAGGCGGCTGGCCTGGCCTAGGTTCCATCACTGTAGGATTGACTGGAAAATTTCAGATCACTTCTTAATTAATTAATTCCCATGAATTGGCTACTCCAACCTGTGATCAGGAAGCTCTGCCTCTCTCCCATTACTCTTCTATGAATCCGGGGGATAGGAAAGTGCTAATGGAATGAATTTTCACACTGACATTGCCTGTGTTTCTTTGGGACCAAACATTCCGCACCAACCAGACATCCCAATCTGACCTCGTCCCATTTACTAGCATTTGGTCCATATCTATCTAATATCTATCCTTCCAATTCATATACCCATCCAGATGCCTATTAAATGTTATAATTGTACCTGCCTCCACCACTTCCCTTGGCAGCTCATTCCATACATGCACCACCCTCTGCATGAAAAAGGTACCCCTCCAGTCTCTATAAATCTTTTCCCACTTACTTTAAACCAATGTCTTCTAGTTCTGGTCTTCCCTACCCTGGGAAAAAGACTTTGGCCTTTCACCCTATCCATGCCCCTCATGATTTTTTAAACATCTATAAGGTCAGCTCCAATGCTCCAGGGAAAAATGCCCCAGATTATTCAGCCTCTCTCTATAGATCAAACCCTCCAACCCCGGCAATATTGTTATAAATATTTTGCACCCTCTCAAGTTTAACAACATCTTTCCCATAGAAGGGTGAGCAGAATTGTACGCAGTATTCTAAAAGTGGCCTCCCAATGTTCTGTACAGCTGCAACACAACATCCCTACTCCTATACCCAATGAACTGACCAATGAAAGCAAGCGTGCCAAATTTCTTCATCACCCTGTCTACCTCTGACTCCGCTTTCAAAGAACTACACACCTGCACCCATAGGTCTCTTTGTTCAGCAATGCTCCCCATGGCCCTACCTTTAATTATATAAATCCTGCCACGGTTTGTCTTACCAAAATTCAACACTTCATTTATCTGCCACTCTGCCCATTAGCCCATCTGATCAAGGTCAGAGATTGGGCCCCTGTTAACTTTTTGGTGAAGTTATCTTCAGAGTTACACAGAGAGAACGTATCTCAGGACTTAACCTATGCTTTATTGGGTTTGCAAATGCTTGAGGCTGCCAATCACAAAAGTGTTATCATAACTTGATGTGCAGAAGAAAACAACATTGTTGTTCATACCATGTGTCTTCAAAGTATTAATTGATATATGGACAAAATAACATTTTAGTAGTGTAGAATTAATTGCAGGTTTAATTTGAAAATGCAATGCTTCACTTTTCACTTTGTGTAAATTGGCCTTCATTTCCAGATGCTGCCACTTTGGCATTTGACCTGAATACAGCCCACAGATATCTTCGCTTCATCAATGACAATCGCAAGGTTTCCAACACTTCACCCTGGCTGCAGCCATATCCGGATCACCCCGAGAGGTTCGAACATTGGCGGCAAGTGCTGTGCACAGAAAGTTTTTATATGGGCCGATGTTACTGGGAAGTGGAGATCAGCGGAGAGGGGACCCATGTTGGCATGACTTACAAAAGCATTGATAGAAAAGGAGACAATAGTAGTGGCTGCATCACAGGGAATGATTTCTCCTGGTGTATTCAGTGGACAGGTAAAGAGTTCTTAGTCTGGCATGGTGATGTGGAAATGCCAGGGAAGGATGAGAAGTTCAGCAGGATAGGAGTGTACTTAGATTATCAAAACAACATCCTATCATTTTACGGTGTTGATGACACTATGACCTTGATACACAAGTTTAAATCTTCATTCACAGAACCATTATGTCCTGCATTTTATCTTGCGAAAAAGGAAGCATCAGTTTCTCTGCTTTTATTTGATGTAGAAGCTGCAGAGAATACAAAAGCTGTGTAGAATCAACTTTGGGGCTGTATTTAATGGTACAGTATTCTCCCCCCTCTAGCCTTACAATTTCACATCACACACCATAAGGTCACATTCACCTTACGTGTGAGAACAGCAGTAGTTCAAAGAGGAAAGGGTCAGCAAAGTGGAGTATTGTAGCAGTTAAGCAATTGATGTGAAAATACTATTTTTTAAGTGTCATCTCTCTAAAATCAATTCCACCTTGTTGATAAATGATTGAACATAATAACACAAGGAACAGATACAGGTCATGCAACTCCTCAAGCCTCCTCTATAACAACTTTTGTATTCAGGGTTTCTGTCTCTCAAGTTTCCAGATTTTCATTTTCTCTTATTTGCAAAGTGTCTGCTGTGTTTTGTCTTTTCATTTGTTGTGTGACCAATATTTTGCAACAACTGCTAGGGTCCCCAGACATTATAAAAAGATAGCTGATTCTTACTATTAAGGTGTAATGACATTCTTTTAAATGTGAGAAAAAAATAAAAGGACTAAATCTATTTTGCTTCCCATTTATTTCTTCTTCCTATGTTTTGCTTGGATCAGGGTCCAGAAATTGTTCCTTCACTCAGAAGTTAAAGTTTAGCTATGTCCAGATGGATGAAGAGATGGTATAGTTGTGGTTGGTAACAACTCTTATAGTTGATGACACAGCAGGATGGTTTTGGTATACAGAAAATTGATCCTCCATGCAGACGAAAATAAGGATCTTCAAGAATCAGGTTTTGAGGAGATTTGGATTTGGGCAGATGTAGCTGTCAGCCTACGGTGTTGTTTGTTGTACTCTGTTCTGATGCTAAAAGTAGCCTGAGACCAGACTTTGGGAATAAATAACTAAACCTCTTCAAAAACTAGAGGAGTTTTGGTCATGTGACATTGCCCATGCACATGTCAGTTAGTTTAATCGGGCAAATTTGTATGCCTTTGTTTAAAGTCCATCATTCACTCCAGGGCTTAGCTGTGGGCTGTTAGCATCTCTGCAGGCATAATGAATATTGATTAGGTCTCTTTGCTATCAGGCTTTAAAAAGTGTCATAGAAAACCATGAAACATTATTGCTATGGTATTTTCCCAGATGACTATCCTGATACCTTGAGGTATTTGCTGCATCTACCAGTATGTGATGCTGGGCCAGGTTTGTTAGGGGTAGTTCATTGTCACTAATCCTCCAACGTATTTGCCTTGTCTTGGGCCAATTTGATGACTGGTAGTAGAATCCAAACAGAAGAGATACTGTTCTTAAATAACAAGGAGGCTTACTGCATGATTGTAATAAGTGCAATGATATTTGTACAGGATTAGCTACTAGGATCTGAGGCAGTAGTACAGATATATCTGCTCTCTCCAAAAGATAGAGTAGAACTTCCAGTCACCACCCACAGATTGTGTGTAACATCAGTGGAATGGATAGAGCCAACTGAACATGAACATTCACCTCTTCAGCAACACTAACCTATACAACAGGCACCCGATACATTCTTTAACCAGTGAACATAATTGACCTTGACAGTCAGAATAACCAGATAACACATGTTTAAATCCTGCTGCATTTGATAGCAGAGTCACATGGTATTTCAATATTATTTTCAATTGATTCATGCACAAAATGATTGTACCACATTTGTATAGTGGATGAAAGTGTTGCTATAAGAATTTATATTTCAGTGTTACCATGCACAACAAAAATGTAAAAATACTTTATTTTAAATAAAATATATCATACACTATATGTTTGTGTATACCCAATGTCTCCATTCTTCACTTTAAGATTGTTTAGATCTATAGTAATTTTATAATAAATGGGAATGACAATGTTGAATTTTCCTCTTCTAATTTATTGCTTTGTGAAGTAAATTTCCATCTGGTGTCATTCCTCAGCAGACATATGGGGAAAATTTGATGTCAAAACAGGTGGTGAGCAATCAGCAACCGTTATACAACCTGCTCAACTTGGATTCAATGGTTAGGGGAACAGACAGGAGATTCTGTGGTACCTAGCGAGACTCCCAGATGTTATGTTGTCTCCTGGGTGCCAGGGTCAGGGATGTCTCCGATCCAGTCTTCAGGATTCTTAAGTGGGAGGGAGAGCAGCCAGAAGTCGTGGTACACATCGGTACCAATGACATAGCTAGGAAACGGGATAAGGACTTGAAAAATGAATATAGGGAGTTAGGAAGGAAGCTGAAAGTCAGGACAAGCAGTGTAGTAATCTCAGGATTACTATCCGTGCCATGGGCTAGTGAGGCCAGAAACGGAGAGAGAGTGCAGCTGAACAGGTGGCTATAGAGCTGGTGTAGGAGGGAGGGCTTCAGGTTTGTGGATCATTGGGATACCTTCTGGGGAAGGTGGGACCTGTACAGGAAGGATGGGTTGCACCTGAACTGGAGGGGCACCAATATCCTGGGCGGGAGGTTTGTTAGAGCTCTTCGGGAGGGTTTAATCTGGTTTGGCAGGGGGATGGGAACTGGAGCTACAGATCAGAAGATGGGGTAGCTGGTTTACAGGCAAATAGAGCAAGCAGAGAATCTATGAAGAAGGATAAGCAGTTGATAGGGCAAAGTGGCAGTCAGTGCGACGGGTTGAGGTGTGTCTACTTCAATGCAAGAAGTGTCAGGAATAAGGGTGACAAACTTAGAGCATGGATCAGTACTTGGAACTACAATGTTGTGGCCATTATGAAGACTTGGATAACACAGGGGCAGGAATGGTTGTTGGGTGTTCCGGGGTGTAGATGTTTCAAAAGAAATAGGGAGGGAGGTAAAAGAGGTGGGGTAGTGGCATTGCTAATTAGCGATGGTATCACAGCTGCAGAAAGGGAGGTCGCGGAGGAGGGTTTCTCCACTGAGTCAGTATGGGTGGAAATCAGAAACAGGAAAGGAGCAGTCACTTTATTGGGAATTTTCTGCAGAACCCCCAACAACAACGGAGACACTTGAGGAACAGATTGGGAGACAGATTTTGGAAAGGTGCAGAAGTAATAGGGTTGTTGTCATGGGTGACTTCAACTTCCCTAATATAGACTGGAACCTCCTAAATGCAAATAGCTTGAATGGAGCAGATTTTGTCAGGTGTGTCCAGGAAGGATTTCTGACTCAATGTGTAGATAGGCCGACTAGAGGGGAGGCCAAATTGGATTTGGTGCTTGGCAACGAACCAGGCCAAGTGTCAGATCTGTCAGTGGGAGAGCATTTCGGTGATAGTGATCACAACTCCCTGACCTTTACTATAGTCATGGAGGGGGATAGGAGCAGATGGTATGGGAAAGTATTTAATTGAGGGAGGGGGAATTACAATGCTATTTGGCAAGAACTACAGAGCACCAATTGGGATCAGATGTTCTCCGGGAAATGCATGACAGAAATGTGGATGTTGTTTAGGGAGCAGTTGCTACAAGTACTGTTTCAGAGATAGTAGGAACTGCAGATGCTGGAGAATCTGAGATAACAAGGTGTAGAGCTGGGTGTTCCCACTGAGGCAAGGAAAGGATGGTAAGGTGAAGGAACCTTGGGTGACAAGATATGTGGAACACCTAGTCAAGAGGAAGAAGGAAACTTACTTCAGGTTGAGGAAGCAAAGATCGGACAGGGCTCTAGAGGTCTACAAGGTAGCCAGGAAGGAACTGAAGAACGGACTTAGGAGAGCTAGAAGGGGGTATGAAAAAACTTTGATGGGTCGGATCAAGGAAAACCCCAAGGCGTTCTATGCTTATGTGAGGAACAAGAGGATGGCCAGACTGAGGGTAGGGCCAATCAGGGATAATGGAGGGAACTTGCGGAGTCAGAGGAGGTAGGGGAGGTTCTTAATGAGTACTTTGCTTCAGTATTTACCAGTGAGAGGGACCTTGATGTTTGTGAGGACAGCATGAAACAGGCAGATATGCTTGAACAGGTTGATATTAGGAAGGAGAATGTGCTAGAAATTTTGAAAAACATGTAGATAGATAAGTCCCCTGGGCCAAACGGGATATACCCAAGGTTTCTACAGGACGAGACTGCTGCCCCTTTGGCAATGATCTTTGCGTCCTCACTGTCCACTGTAGTCGTACTAGAAGACTGGATGGTGGCAAATGTCATTCCTTTGTTCAAGAAAGGGAACAGGAATAATCCTGGAAATTACAGACCGGTCAATCTTTCTTCTGTGGTGGGCAAATTATTGGAGAGGATTCTGAGAGATTGTATTTATGGTTATTTGGAAAAGCACAGTTTGATTAGAAATAGTCAGCATGGCTTTGTGAGGGGCAGGTCAGGCCTCACAAGCCTTACTGAATTCTTTGAGGATGTATCAAAACACATTGATGAAGGTAGAGCAGTGGATGTGGTGTATATGGATTTTAGCAAGGCATTTGATAAGGTTCAACATGGTAGGCTCATTCAGAAAGTAAGGAGGCATGGGATTCAGGGAAATTTGGCTGTCTGAACACAAAACTGGCTGTCCAATAGAAGACAGAGGGTGGTAGTAGATGGAAAGTATTCAGCCTGGAGCTCAGTGACCAGTGGTGTTCCGCAGGGATCTGTTCTGGGACCTCTGCTCTTTGTGATCTTTATCAATGACTTGGATGAGGAAGTGTAAGGGTGGGTTAGTAAGTTTGCCGATGACACGAAGGTTGGCGGAGTTGCGGACAATGTGGAGGACTGTTGTAGGTTGTAAAGGGACATTGACAGAATGCAGAGCTGGGTAAAGAAGTGGCAGATGGAATTCAACCCAGAAAAGTGTGAAGTGATTCATTCTGGAAGGTCGAATTTGAATGCAGAATACAGGGTTAATGGCAGGATTCTCGGCAGTGTGGAGGAACAGAGGGATCTTGATGTCCACATTCATAGATCCCTCAAAGTTGTGACCCAAGTTGACAGGGTTGTAAAGAAAACGTATGGTGCGTTGGCTTTCATTGGCAGGGGAATTGAGTTTAAGAGCCGTGAGGTTATGCTGCAGCTCTATAAAACTCTGGTTAGACCACACTTGGAATATTGTGTTCAGTTCTGGTCACCTCATTATAGGAAAGATATGGAAGCTTTAGAAAGGGTGCAGAGGAGATTTACCAGGATGCTGCCTGGGATGGAGGGCAGGTCTTATGAGGAAAGGTTGAGGGAGCTAGGGCTTTTCTCATTGGAGCGAAGAAGGATGAGAGGTGACTTGATAGAGGTGTACAAGATGATAAGAGGCATAGATAGAGTGGACAGTCAGAGACTTTTTCCCAGGGCGGAAATGACTATTACGATGGGGCATAATTTTAAGGTGATTGGAGGAAGGTATAGGGGAGATGTCAGAGGTAGGTTCTTTACACAGAGAGTGGTGGGTGTGTGGAATGCACTGCCGGCAGTGGTAGTGGAGTCAGATACTTTAGAGACTTTTAAGCGACTCTTGGATAGGCACATGGAGGATAGTAAAATGTAGGGTATGCAGGGTAGACTGATCTTAGTAGGATAATGGGTTGGCACAACATTGTAGGCCAAAGGGCCTGTACTGTGCTGTACTGTTCTCTGATTCAGTGGAAAGCTAAATCAGATAGTGTGTGCACCAAGCAGCCAATTCATCGCCTACTTTGCAATCCTGAAGTGGGATCAAGAAATAAAAAGGTGGTCAATAGCAACAACTTGCATTGATGACATTGCACTTTCAATAATAGAGAAGCTTTCTAAGGTGCTTTGCCAAGTGAAGCAATACCTGGGATCTGGCAGCCGTTCCTTTATAAACAATACTGTTATTCATCCAGATCTGTCTGCCATCGTGATCTCCCACAAATGCAGTGTACCTTCAGAAAGGCATGTGTACCTGATGATGTGATACTTAGGTTAGCTCTAGACCGTAACATCTAGACCTGGGTAACATAGTCCTGAAGGATTTAATAGACATTTATTGAGCACCTGGTATCCACATGTATCACAATAGCAGGCACTTGTGTGTCTGGGTAAAGTGAAGAAATTCAGTTATCAATGATAGCATTCAGGAAGACGGAAACAGATCTTTATACCATGACTTCACATGCTATGATGTAGTGATGATGTCACAAGAATATCACTTAAAAGGTTCTTTTCATACTGGCTGAGAGATACAACACACCACGAGGTACCATCTGAATTCTGGGGGTCACAGTTGCTTACAGCAGAGGAGGGTCAGCAGAAAAAGGAGATGGGTGGGTGGCAGCTCGAAGCGTATTCACGTCTTCTACATGCCGGGATGCTTGATTAGGTAATGGGAGCCTTTCAATGAGGTGTCAAAACTCCCTCGGTGCCCGCAGAAACTCTAAATGGGCTTACTTGTTGTACTCCGTATACTCTGCCCACTGTTGCCCAGCCGTGGCAGGATGAGAACATTAAAAAGGCATCAATTGAGCTTCAACCAGAGCTTTTGACTGGTGGTGGGAGAGGGCAGCTGACATCAGGCTTTCCCACCTCTGATGTAAATCAGGGTCATCACCTGCCATTGCCCACCTAATTAGATGTGCCCTCCCTACCAAACCTGCTATGGTGGAGGATATATGATTCTGCCCAAAGAGTCCTTGAGACAGAGAGGAAGAAACATTCTTCCTGTTGCTGGCAGACTCAGAGTTAAGTTCAAACTGAAGCAACTTTCTTAACCTTACAATGGCCGCTGAGCTCTTGTGGCACAATGGTAGTGTTCTTACTTGTGGCTAGGTAGGGCTGGATTCAAGTCCCACCTGCCGTAATAACACATCTGAACAGGCTGATTGGAAAATATCTACATTGATTGGTGATTAAAGGAAAAATAATTCCTTCTTCTGTGCTCTATGGCTGAGCTGCAGACAGTGTAAAGCTCCCTTGATTTTAAGTTAATGTCACTGTGCCAATAACATACAAACGTAATTAGTCCTTGGCAGCTTTGTCCAAGGTCTGGTTGGGGTGGGAACGCAACATTTTAGAGGTGGGCGTGAGAATTTTCAAATATTAAACCCTCCCATGAGCTGTTCTGACGGCAAGAGAGGTAGTAAAATCCCAGCCAAAATGTTAAATAATTTTAAGAGAAACATGCAAATAATTCAGGTCACCAGGAGTCCAGTTTTTAAAAGGTCAACCAGAACATTTATAAAGGCAGACAGGGTGTTTTCATTAATTACAACAGGCACCAACCAAATGACTCTGTTTCCCATGTAGTGTTGTACCAACCTCAATGGTTACTGAAGTCCTCAGCATTCAGGTTTTTTATATTTCTGCTGTTTGGTTTGCGGCTTGGCAAAAAAGACAGTAATTTTGCAAAAAATGAATAAGTGACCCCCTGACCTGTCGGGATCACAATAACTGCGCAACAACACGAGTTGCAAATTGCTTCTCAATGTTAAAAGTTTGGATCCACTTATAGTTATCAACAGATATTTCAGTAGACCTACTTGCAAACCATTAGGTCAAGGCACACTTTGCAAATTAAACATTTGGTGAGAGCATTAGGGCAGGCGAAGGCCTAGTGCTATTAATCCAGAGACCCAGATACCGTTCTGGGGACTTGGGTTCAAATCCTGCCACGGCAGATGGTGGAATTTGAATTCAGCAGATGTCTGAAATTAAGAGTCTAATGATGACCATGAATCCATTGTCAATTGTCAATTGTCAGGAAAAGCCCATCTGTTTCACTAATGCCCTTTAGGGAAGGTAACTGCCATCCTTACCTAGTCTGGCCTATATGTGACTCCAGATCCACAGCAATGTGGTTGACTCTTAACTGCCCTCTGGGCAATTAGGGATGGACAATAAATGCTGGTCTAGCCAGTGATGCCCTCATTCCATGAATAAGTAAAGAAAAAATGTTTAGTGATAAAAGCAAAACACTGCTTATACAGGAAACAAACAGAAAATGCTGGCAAAAACTCAGCAGGTCTGGCAGCATCTGTAGAGAGATAAACAGAGTTGATGCTTTGAGTCTGATATGAATCTTGTCTTATCCGAGTGCACTATTGACAGCAGAGAAAAATAGATACATGCCTGCCCATGTGGAGATTGCATTTTGAGATGAATTTGGTCTTCTCTGTAGATTGTAGCTGTAGCCTTTAACCTGGGGAGGGAGAGGGAGCAGAGTGTTTGAGGGAAAACGTCGCCTCTGTTGTTTCTGGGGCAGTGGGGAAGGCTCACAGAGGTGTCAGGAGGAGGCCATTCAGCCCACTGTAGCCGTGCGGTGATGGCCGCGGCCAACCTGCTGTCCCTGGAGCAGCAGCTCTCCTGCTCCATTTGCCTGGAGGTGTTTACCGAGCCCGTGAACCTGCCGTGCGGACACACCTTCTGCCTGCGCTGCATCGACAAGAACTGGCAGCAGAGCCCGGCCAGCGCCTGCCCCGAGTGCCGGGCCTCCTTCGTGCCCAGGCCTCCCCTCCGGAAAAACATCGTCCTGTGCGGCATCGTGGACGAGTTTAACCGCCTGGGCCAGGCCTCGGCCTCCCGTGTCCCCTGTGACCGGTGCGGGGACACCAAGGCGGTGAGGTCGTGCTGGGCCTGCCTGGCCACCCTGTGTGAGGCCCACCTCCGGCCCCACTACCAGGACGAGCAGCAGTACCGCGGGCACCAGCTCACCGAGCCCGTCCCGGGCCTGAGCCGCCGCCGGTGCGCGGCCCACGGCAAGCTGCTCGAGTTCTTCTGCCGCAGCGACGGCGCCTGCATCTGCGGCCTGTGCATCGTGCAGCAGCACCGGGAGCACACCGTCACCGGGGCCGAGGAGGAGGCCTCCCGCCTCAAGGTACCAGGGTGCGCGGCCTCGCTCTCTCCCTGTCACTGTTTCCCCCCCCCCGTTAACACGGCCCCGGGTCGGGGGAGAGGGTCACCCCAGGGTGGGGTTCAGGGGGAGGGTCCCTTGGGTGGGGTTTTGGCAGGGGGAGGGGAGTGTCCCCAGGGTGGAGTTCAGGGGAGGCTCCCTAGGGTGGGGTTTCGGGAGTGGGGTCTGCAGGGTGGGGTTTTGGGAGTGGGGGGGGAAGGGTTGTCAGGGTGGAATGTTGGGGGGGGTTTTGAGAAAGGGAGAGAGAAAGGTGGGGGAGAGAGGGGAGGTTCTCCAGGGTGTAATAGAAACATAGATAATAGGCGCAGGAGTAGGCCACTCAGCCCTTTGAGTCTGCGTTTAGTATTCAACATTCAATATGATGATGGCTGATCATGCAATTTCAGTACAGGATAGTTCTCCTATAACGCGATAGCTGCATTCTTGCGTAACCTCACGCTATAGAAAATCATTATACCTGTACAGCAGAAAATTTGCATTATCCAAACAGCATCTACTGTTCATCAATCATATTACAGCCAATTCATATTAACAAAATACGTGTTATAGCAAAATTACCTGTCGCTCACTCCTGCTTTCGTTCATATCCCTTGATCCCTTTAGCCGCAAAGGCTCCCTCTTGAATATATCTAACGAACTGGCTCCAATAGCTTTTTGAGGGAGAGAATTCCACAGGTTCACAATTCAGTGAAGAAATTCTTCCTCATCTCAGTCCTGAATGTCTTACCCCTTATTCCTAGATTGCGACCCCCAGTTCTGGACTTCCCCAACATCAGGAACATTCTTCCCTCCTCTAGCCTGTCCAGTCCCATCACGATTTTATATATTTCTATGAGAACCCCATCTCTTTCTTCGAAATTCCAGCGAGTACAAGCCCAGTCGATCCAGCCTTTCTTCATTTGTCAGTACTGCCATCCTGGGAATCAGTCTGGTGAACCTTTGCTGTTTTCCCTCCCTTCCTCGGACTGGGAGAGCAAAACTGCACACAGTACTCGAGGTGTGGCCTCACCAAGGCCCTGTGTAACTGCGGCAAGACATCCCTACCCCTGTTCTCAAATTCTCTTGCTGTGAAGGGTAGCATGCCATTAGCTTTCCCCACCACCTGCATACCAACCTCCAGTGACTTTTCCACTATGACACCCAGGTCTAGTTACACCTCACCTTTTCCTAAATCTGCCTTCCTGTTTTTGCCACCAAAGCGAATAACCTCACATTTATCCAAATTATATTGCATTTGCCAAGTATTTACCCACACAGCCAGTCTGTCCAGGTCGCTCTGCAGCCTCTTAGCATCTTCCTCACAGCACACACTACCTCCCAGCTTAGTGTCATCTGCACATTTGGAGACATTGCTTTCAATTCCTTTGTCCAAATCATTAATATAAATTGTGAACAGCTGGGGTCCCCAGCAATGAACCCTGTGGTACCTGACTCATCACTGCCTGTCACTCTGAAAAGCTGTCTGCTTCCTGTATGCCAACCAGTTCTCTATCCATCTCAATACATAATCACTGATACCATAAGCTTTAAGTTTGCTTACTAATCTCTTGTGCAGAACCTTGTCAAAAATCTTTTGAAATCCAGATATGCAACATCCTTTGATTCACCCTAGCCCACTCTACTGGTCACATCCTCAAAAACTTCCAGCAGATTTGTCAAGCATGATTTTCCTTTGGATGTGGGGAGGGACCCCAGGGTGGGGTGCAGGAGAGATGGGGTAATGTCACTGGAATCTCTCAATAGCATAATGTCCTTTCCCAGTTCTGGGGGAGAAAATAAAGAACGGTAGATGCTGGAAGCAAAAAAAACACAAAACAAAAAAGAAACAGAAATTGTGGGAAATCGTATCACATCTGGCAGCATCTGTGGAGAGAAAGCAGAGTTAATGTTTTGGGCCCAGAGACTCTTCAGAACTTCTCAGTTCAGCATTACAGATGTGACCAGACCTGCTGAGCTTTTCCAACAATTTCTGTTTGTGTTCTGGGGACATGGGTATGAATCCCACTATGGATTGATGGTGAAATTTGAATTCAGTAAAGTTCTGCAATAAAGAGTGCAGAAAAGATTTACAAGGATGTTGCTGGGGTTGAAGGGTTTGAGCTATACGGAGAGGCTGAATAGGCTGGGGCTATTTTCCTGCAGCATCAGAGGCTGAGGAGTGACTTTATAGAGGTTTATAAAATTGTGAGGGACATGGATAAGGTGAATAGACAAGGTCTTTTTCCCAGGGTACGGGAGTCCAAAACTAGAGGGCATAGGTTTAAGGTGAGAGGGTAAATGTATAAAAGGGACCTAAAGGACAACCGTTTTACGCAGAGCATGGTGCGTGTATGGAACGAGCTGCCAGAGGAAGGGGTGGAAGCTGGTACAATAACATTTAAAAGGCATCTGGTCGGGTACATGAATAGGAAGAGTTTAGAGTGATATGGGCCAAATGCTGGCATATGGAACTAGATTAATTTAGGATATCTGGTTGGCATGGACAAGTTGGACTGAAGCATCAGCTTCCATGCTGTATAATTCTATGACTCATGACAATCACATAACTACTGGCGATTGCTGTAAGAACCTGTTTCGTCCTTTAGCGAAGGCTCCTTTTGGTATGATGACATAAAATACTTTGACAACAGTACAAGCCAAAAACAAAAATAGTCATTCTCTGCAGTACTCCAGATAATTTATGCCATATTATTGATCAAAAGGTTTTATGAGCATTAGATTTGACCGGGAGCTTCAGCCTCTGTGAGAGGGACTTTCTGTGATCTCCTCCCTTTGATTCA